GTACTTCAGTTTTGATTTGAATCTAGCAGATTCAGTGGACACTGCTGCTATTACAGAGTGAAAGATATATGATGTTTTACAACATAAACGCAATATCATGTCCTAAAGTGATATTAATGGTTCAATGTTTTTTTTTTTTTTTAACAAACGTCATACTTAGCTGCTCTGTGCAGTGGTTTTGCATAGAGCAGCACCGATCCTCCTCATGCCCACCGCTGGCACTCCTGGATTCTCCCCCTTGGCCAGTGCCAATGGCAAGCCTCTCGCTTCTGAGCCCCACTCCATTCATCCATAAGACGCATAGCCACAGCTTGGCCTCGCCCCCTGCGTTCTTACTGGCTGTGAATGACAGCAGTGGGAGCCAGTGGCCCCTGCTACTGTGTCTCAGCTTCATGTTCTCTTCTTAAGTGAAAGAAAAGATGCAACATATCTTTCTCCTTGCCATAGTGTCAGTGGGGGTTGGGGATAAGCATTTGATCTAGATCAGGTTTAAGGTCAAAGTCAGGATCAGTAAATTATAGGTAAGATTACAAAAAAGCATTTTTAAATTTTAGTGTTGGTTATCATGTATTTTAGGTAGATTTACAAAAAGCAAAAACGTTTGTTTCTGAGCTGTACTATGGATACAAACAACAAATACCATACACATGTTGCATAGCTGCAGTTGTCAGAAGCAGGATAATTTATTTTTAGTTGTTCTTTGCTTAGCTATGGTAATAGAAATACACAGCTTATACATTTAAAAAAAATATATTTTTTTTCCTATTCTGTGCCAAATTTCCTTTGATAAAATAAGAGGAGATATCAATTACCATTTACCACCAAATGAAAACCAAATTTGCATGAAAAAAGTACAATTCATGTACAATTTTATTAATATGCCAAAGTTTCAAAACTGTATTTGTTTTAAGATTTGTTTTAGTGCCAGTTCACATACAGTTGGGTCCATATATATATATTTGGACACAGGCACAATTTTTATTTTTTTTGGTGATTTACCAAGACATATTCAAGCGATTAGTTAACTAATGGATATGGGATGAAAGTGCACACTCTCGGGTTTAATTTGAGGGTTGGTACATCCAAATTAGAGGAAGGGTTTAGAAATTACAGTTCTTAAGAGTAGCCATCCCCCTTTTTTTTCAAGGGACCAAAAGTAATGGACAATTGAATCAAAAGCTGTTTCATGGCCAGGTATGGGCTACTCCTTCGTTATTTCATAATTAAGCAGCTAAAAGGTCTGGAGTTGATTCTAAGTGCGGTATTTGCATTTGGAATCTATTGCTGTGAACCTACATCATGCGTTACAATGGTCTGTTACACTTGCATGGGCAGCTCCTTTGAAGGCTTCAAAAACGAAAAACTCCATCTGAGAGATAGCAGCAACATTAGGAATGGCCAAGTCAACAGTTTAGTACATTCTGAGAAAAGAACACACTGGGGAGCTCAGCAACATAAAAAGGCATGGACGTCCACGGAAGACAACAGTGGTGGATGATCGCAGGATCCTCTATGGTAAAGAAAAACCCATTCACAACATCCAGACAAGTGAAGGACACTCTCCAGGAGGTGGGCGTATCATTGTCAAAGATTACAATCAAGAGACTTCACGAGAGCAAATACAGAGAGTTCACCACAAGGTGCAAACCATTCATAAGCCTGAAGAGTAGAAAAATCAGATTAGACTTTGCCAAAAAAATTCTAAAAAAAAAAGACCAGTTATGGAAAAGCATTCTTTGGACGGATGAAACTAAGATTAATAGATTAATCTGTACCTGAATGACGGGAAGAAAAAAGTGTGACGAAGGCTTGAAACAGCTCATGATCCAAAGCATTAACGTCATCTGTAAAACATGGTGTAGACTGTGTGATGGCAGGGGCATCCATGGCTTCCAGTGGCACTGGGTCATTGGTGTTTGATGATTTGACAGAAGCAGCCGGATGAATTCTGCAGTGTTTCGAGAGATACTGTCAGCCCAGATTCAGCCAAATGCAGCAAAGTTGATTGGACGGCGCTTCACAGTACAGATGGACAATTTTCCAAAACACACTGCAAAAGTAACCCAGGAGCTTTTGAAGGATAAGAAGTGAAATATTCAGCAATGGCCGAGTCAATCACCTGATCTCAACCCAATTGAGCATGCATTTCACTCGTTGAAGGCACAACTAAAGGTAGAAAGAACTGAAGACAGCTGCAATTAGAGCCTAGCAAAGCATCAGAAAGGAGGAAACCCAGTCTTTGGTAATGTCCATGGGTTGTAGACGTCATTCAGTCATTGCCAGTAAAGGATTCTCAACAAAATATTAAAAATTAACATTTATTATTCTATTCAATTGTCCAATTACTTTTGGTTCCTTCCAATTTTTTTTTTTTTTTTTTAATAGTGGAGGGATTAGAACACCTATTAAGTTTTTTTTATTGCAGTCTGAGCCCCCCCTGTTGGGGAGATTCACTCTTTTTGTCCTGTTTACCATTATCATCGAAAGTAAAAGAAAATCACAAATTTTGAGTTGTCCCCAGAAAAGTAAGATGGGAAATTTTCAGATGGGGGACACTAGTTCTGGTTACCTGGTGGTCCCCCAGGAATTCCCTTCATTTGCAGGGATTACCCTCCTTTCCTGTTTTGGATATGAAACAGGAAGTGATGGTAAATCTCCTCATTGAGACACAGGTGGCAAAAAACATAAACTGACAAAAAATCCACTAATAGTGGTTTGCCAGCTCTTGTGGTTTTGACAAAGGAAAGTTTAAAATTTTTTTTTATAAAAATGAAAGGAACACTTTTCAATCAGAGTATAGCATCAAGTCAGTTAAACTCCTGGGATATTGATCTGGTCAGTAGCAGAGGGGGTTGTTAATCAGTTTCAGCTGCTTTGGTGTTAATAAAATGGGCAGCAATGAGACGACCCCCAAAAAAGGAATAGTTTTACAGGTGGAGGCCACTGACATTTATTCCCTATTCATCTTTTCTGACTGTTTTTCACTAGTTTTGCATTTGGCTAGGGTCAATATCACTACTGGTAGCATGAGGCGATACCTGGACCCTACAGAGGTTGCACACGCAGTCCAACTCCTCCAGGATGACACACCCGTACGTGCCATTGCCAGAAAGTTTTCTTTGTCTCCTAGCCCAGTCTTAAGAGCATGGAGAAGATTCCGGGAGACAGGCAGTTACTCTGTGAGAGCTAGGCAGGACCGTAGAAGGTCCTTAACCCATCAGCAGGACTGGTATCTGCTCCTTTGTGCAAGAAGGAACAGGATGAACACTGCCAGAGCCCTACATAATGACCTTCAGCAGGCCACTGGTGTGAATGTCTCTGACCAAACCATTCGCAACAGACTTCATGAGGGTGGCCTGAGGGCCTGACATTCTATAGTGGGCCCTGTGCTCACTAGCCCGGCACCATAGAGCTTGATTGGCATTTGCTATTGAACATCAGAGTTGGCAGGTCCGCCACTGGAACCTTGTACTTTTTTACAAATCAAGTTCACCCTGAGCACATGTGACAGACGTGAAAGGGTCTGGAGAAGCCGTGGAGAACCTTATGCTGCGTGTAACATCGTTCAGCTTGACCTTTTCGGCGGTGGGTCAGTGATGGTCTAAGGAGGCATATGCATGGAGGGACGCAGAGATCTCTACAGGCCAGACAATGACACCCTGACTGCCATTCGGTATCGGGATGAAATCCTTGGACCCATTGTCAGACCCTACGCTGGTGAAGTGGGTACTGGGTTCCTCCTGGTGCACAATGCCCGGCCTCAGGTTGCGAGAGTATGTAGGCAGTTCCTGGAGGATGACTAAATTGATACTATTGAATGGCCCCCACGCTCGCCTGACCTAAATTCAATAGAACACCTCTGGGATATCATGTTTGGGCCCACCTGATGCCGCCAGGTTGCACCTCAGACTATCCAGGAGCTCAGGGATTCCCTGGTCCAGATCTGGGAGGAAATACCCCTGGACAGCATCTGTCTCATTAGGAGCATGCCCCGCCATTGTCAGGCATGCATACAAGCCATACAAACTGAGTATCATTTTGAGTTGCTGCAATGAAATTTCAGCAAAATGGGCTAGCCTGCTGCATAATTTTTTCACTTTGATTTTCTTTGAATTCAGTCCTCTGTAGGTTAATTTTCATTTCTGTCAAACGATGGGGCATCCTTGTGTTCCTAACACATTACCCAGTCCATACCAGTATAGATATCCGGCATGATATTTTTCCTCAACTGAGATCTGATGTGTGTATGTCTGTGATATACACCCTGTTCCAAATTATTATGTAAATTATATTTTTCTCCTTTACCTAAATAATTGATGTAAATAACAGCATAATTCTCATGTTATCAACTATTAAGAGTACAATTCAAATTTTATTGAACAAACCTAACGATAAAAGTATTTTTTTTTTAAACATAAACTTACAATGCACTGTTCCAAATTTTTACGCACAGTAAGTTTCAAAACACTTTATATGCCATAAAGAACTGAAAATTGTCATTTGTTGTGTTTGCAGCATATTTACTGAAATTAAAAGCTATTTCAATCAAACTTTTAACAACATTTTAACTTTTTTCTTGCATCCATTGAACTTGTGAGTTTTTGGACAGTTTCTGCTTGAATTTGTTTGCAAGATGTCAGAATAGCCTCCCAGTGCTGCTGTTTGGATGTAAACTGCCTCCCACCCTCATCGATCTTTTGCTTGAGGATGCTCCAAAGGTTCTCAATAGGATTGAGGTCAGGGGAGGATGGAGGCCACACCATGACTTTCTCTCCTTTTATCCTCATAGCAGCCATTGATGCAGAGGTATTCTTTGCAGCATGAGATGGTGCATTGTCATGCATGATGAAGATGATTTTATTACGGAAAGCACAGTTCTTCCTTCTGTACCAGGGAAGAAAGTGGTCAGTCATAAACTCCATATACTTTGCAGAGGTCATCTTTACACCTTCGGGGACCCTAAAGGGGCTGACAAGTTCTGTTCCCATGATTCCGGCTCAAAACATGACTCCACCACCGCCTTGCTGACGTCGCAGCCTTGTTGGAACAGGGTGGCCATCCATCAACCATCCACTACTCCATCCATCTGGACCATCCAGGGTTGCATGGCACTCATCAGTGAACAGGACTGTTTGAAAATTAGTCTTCATGTATTTTTCTGCCCAATGCAGCCGTTTCTGCTTGTGAGCATTGGTTAGTGGTGGCTGAATAGAAGGTTTATGCAGAGTCGTGGGACTCCAGAGGCACCAGCTGCTTCAAATATCTGTTTGCTGCTATGTAATGGTTTTTTAGCAGCTGCTCTCTTGATCCGATGCATGGATCTGGCAGAAATCTTCCTCAATGTACCTTCCTCTGAATCAGCCACAAATCTCTTAATAGTGCGACGATCACGCTTAAGTTTTCAAGAAATATCTAATGTTTTCATACCTCGTCCAAGGCATTGAACTATTTCACTCTTTTCGGCAGCAGATATCCCTTTTCTTCCCCATATTGCTGGAAAATGGTGCTCTGCTTAATAATGTGGAACACCCTCCTTTAGTAGTTTTTCCTTAAATTGGGCTCACCTGCCAATCTAATTATCACAGGTGTCCAAGATTGTTTTCAGTGATCAAAAGAGCCCTGACACACCATGTCATCCATGAATTAACTGAAAAACAAAATATTTAATCTTTGTGACACTTAAATAGAATTTGCATAATAATTTGGAACAGGGTGTATGTAATTTCTTTTGTCTCAAAGAATAGGTGTAGAAATTCCCCCCTTCTCAATCACTTCTTGTCTCCACCCACCTCCTAGCACAGTTCCACACCTACCCACCTCACAGTACTGATCCTTTACTGATAGCCCAGTGTTTGTCAACCTTTTTTCAGTCAATGCACCCTTTAAAATTATGGACAGTCACAAGGCACCCTTTTAAATTGATAGTCTTGAGGCACCGCATTCTAAAATGTGAAAGACTATTCTAATAGTATATATATAACGCGGCAACATCCACACACATAGGACACCCAACATTGGAGGTGATTTATTCTTTCAAAGCAAATACACTTTTGCACACTGGTACTGAGTAGTTTTCCAATGTTTCTCTTCTCCCTCAATTTTTATCTATCACTGAGCTAATGTGACCCCAGCACTGATGGAGAGGTGCAGGGGAGGGTCAAACTAGGATGCTGTGCAGGCAGCTGACATCCTCTTTATCAACTGATGTCATTGGTTGTCAGGATGCTGGCAGCTAGAAGGTCGTAATAGTGTGCAATGAAAACCTATGGCTTTGTGTAACTAAGACAGGCTTGTTCACCCGCTGGCTTGTATACAAGTTTTGGGTAATTTTTAGACATTTTGCCAAGGCACCCCTGAAGAAACCTCAAGGCACCCCAGGGTGCCTGGGCACACTGGTTGAGAAAGGTTGTGATAGAGAATACACAGCCAAGTTTCATTTTGTGGTACTATGTAATGTGTGTGAAATTTTGCTAATAACAAGAAAAGCAGCAATACAACCCACACCCCCTGCAACAAAATACCACCCCAGCAATAATAGACCCCAGCAGCATCAACAGATCACCCAACAGCAGTTGGCAACAATAGACCCCTCCCTCAAAAGTAGATCCCTTCCAGCAACAATAGACCACTATGCAAAAACAGGTCCCCTCCAGTGACTGATCCCCCAGCAGCCAGCATCATTAGACCTTGCAGCACCTCTTGTCATTACATACATTCAGTGCTGGAGGTGCTGGAGGACACACACAGCCTGTCTCAGAAGTGTGGCTGCACGTGTCCTCTTAGCACTGTGCTTGGTAAGGGGGCACTTAGAGGAAGGAGGAGCGGACAGTGTCAGTGGAGTCCGCCAAAGAGGAGCTAAGGGACCACGCAAAGTATGGTTCTCATGTAAAAAAAATGAGCACTTTGGCATCTGTGTGAAAAAAATAGCCCAGCAGTAATAGGGTGTAAAAAAAAAAAAACCTCCACACATTTATAACACGCAATGATGTGCTTTATAAATTTGCATTGTGAGCCTCTGGCTTTGGAAGTTGGCAGAGCAATAAAAGGGTGTTTGGGGGGAATAAAAAGTATAGCTGTTCATCGTTATTCAATTCTGGCTTCTGTTGTCACTTGAGATGGTTGGAGACTTGACAGATATCTAAATATTTGGCTTGGTCATTGTCCTTGCTTTGCAGAATTAGTAACTCAAAATGGGGGTGGGTAGTGTGTTTACTGAGTTAAAGTCCTCATTGTGCACACTTTGGAATTTTTACGCTTTCAACTTCTGTTACAATGAGATTGATTCATTAAAAATGGAGACAAAGAAACAAAGCGCCATACCAACCAGTCAAACTTTTTTTGCATTTCTCCTAAAAAAAACAAGCTGAGCAGGCACTGCTCTTTTCTTTAGTATTTGTGAATGGCCCTTAGGATATCAGAATACCTGAACAGTGACTGCATCTGATTTGGGTGCAGATGCTGTTCAGCTGACCATTTTTTAACAGCCTTTTACAAGTCTCAAATGGTGAGCTGCACTGAAGCTGAAGTGTCTAGTATGGACACTCCAGCCTCAGTGACAGCCACTTCCTGCAACAAATTCATGTGCCTTTCCTGATTGGTGCATTTGTGGTGTGGAGGTGCGACAGAATTGTGTAACTCTTTGAATTCCACTGCATATACTTTCTGAAAGCAGCACCTATAGAAAATAAAAACGATAGCAGTACAGATATTATATATAATATATTTTAAAAATAAAGTACTGTTTATCAAATCTACTTTGGGTGTATTTTTTTTTTTTTTTTTTTTTACCACAAAATTAATTTTGGCGCATACAAAACACAAGATGGATCAGAGCATTTTTTACATTCCCACTATGGGCTGGGCCACTTTGACTATAACTTTGTCATTATTTAAGATTAAATAATACACTTTTCTGGGGGGGGGGGAAGAGACGAGGCTTTCTTATGGCAATACTGTCTTTAAAATTATTTTATTTGCTATGTTGTCTATATAATAAAAAGTATTAATTATATAGCAAAGGACCTTTTATTCATAGACCATGGGTTATATGCAGGCTACCTTCAGGTGGTTTGTCTGTAGCAAAATCATTGCTGGGTCCACCACTATGGAGATGCTTATATAACCCCGCCCTCTCCTTGAGACTTTTTTTTTTTTTTTTTTTCTATCCACTTCTACATAGATTTGCCTGCTTGCTGCCTGTGGTTACATAGCAGTGGATTGGTAACCTTCAGTGTCTTGAGTGCCTTGAGAACTGTCCCTGGACCCCAGTGTGTGTGGGGCTGGCCTGTAATGCTTGCTTTGAGCTTTAGATTCTGCATTTGGTGCTCCTCTTGTACGTTATTGCAATGAGTGTAGTTAGCCACAGGGAGTGGTATAGGTCCAGGGACGTCATTGATCCCTATGGTTTTGAAACCTAGAAGACCCACTGGGGGGGTATGCCCATCGTGATGAGAAAGCATGGACTCTTAGCAGGTACAGTGACATGGATAAGGTAACACTTGTTTTCCTGATATTGTAGACTAGTTTCAAACCCACAGTGCTTAGCACAGAAATGGATGCATAACTGCAGGACTGAGGAGTTATTCCCTTGTGCTTATTCCCTTTGTACTTGTCAATAACGCTTTTGGCACTAAGGATAACTTTATTTAGTTTAAAATTGGTGTTTTGTCACATCTGGACATTGTAACGATAGAGACGCAGTTGCAGCAGGTCTTCTGACTGATTCACTTCCCCCCACCATAGCTGTAGAAAATGTGTAATACTTTTTGTACTACACTTCTGCCACATTCTACACAGACCAGTTCTGTTTTTAGCATGTGGGTTATGGTGACTCCTGTATTCCAGACAGACAACTTCATGGCTTCTGTATCTGTTCTGTGAGTACGCCACAAGAAATTCCCTCACTTCAGCAGTGGTTGGGGCAAAATGGAAGAATAGCATACACAATAATAAGCTGCCCTCGTAGCACTTTTTGCTTTCTCGGGACCTCAACTTGGTGTTCTCTGCTCTAAAGAAATCAACCCTTTGAACCTCTCAGATATATTCCCTTGGAGTATCTCTCCTGCAAAGTAGACTTTTTGGTAGCAATCATCTCTCAGGTGGGTGTCTATACTGGGGGCCCTTTCCTGTTTAGAGCCTTTTCTCATACTTTACAATGACAAAGTTGTCTTACACTCAAAACCATCCTTTTTCCAGAAGTTAAAGTATTCCACCTCAATGTGGATATGGTCCTGTCATCCTTAACCACTTCCCGACCACCCTATAGCAGGACTGCTGCAGGGCTGTGCAAAATCATGTATTACGTGATTTTGTATTTACGGGTAGGGGGTGCGTGCGCCGCCATTTATGGCTACAGCTGTCGATTACTGGGTCCCTACCGTAGATTCCCTACCGGCGCACGACAATTGCCGAGGAACACTGACAGGAGAGGTCTGTTTGTAAACCGTACAGATCTCTCCCGTCAGCACCAGCATGCAGAGCAATACAAAGAAGTGTGATTATACAGTAAAGCACACAGACAGCATTGTAAAACAGCACACAGTTAACCCTTTGATTGCCCCAGATGTTAACCCCTTCCTGCCCAGTGTCAGTACAGTGTCAGTGCTTTTTATTAGCACTGATTACTGTATTAGTGTCACTGGGGATGTCAGTGGCAATCAGCTCCCCCAGTGCCAGAATGCCCACCACAGTCCCGCTATAAGTTGCTGATCGCTGCCATTAGTAGTATAAAAAAAAAAGTGTGTGTATGTATATGTACCGCCATTTGTAGACGACAGAACTTTCATGTAAACCAATTAATTTACATGTATTGGGATTTTTTTTAGCAAAGACATGTAGCAGAATACATTGTGCACTGATTACTGTATTAGTGTCACTGGGGATGTCAGTGGCAATCAGCTCCCCCAGTGCCAGAATGCCCACCACAGTCCCGCTATAAGTTGCTGATCGCTGCCATTAGTAGTATAAAAAAAAAAAGTGTGTGTATATGTACCGCCATTTGTAGACGACAGAACTTTCATGTAAACCAATTAATTTACATGTATTGGGATTTTTTTTAGCAAAGACATGTAGCAGAATACATTGTGGCTTAAATTTTGCTCTTATTTTTTATAGCACAAAAAATAAAAACGCAGAGGCAATGAAATACCACCGAAAGAAAGCATTTGTGGTGGAAAAAGGACAAATTTAATTTCAGTGCAGTGTTGCATGACGACGCAATTGTCAGTTAACCTCCCTAGCGGTATGATTATGTCAATATTTCTGTGCTCAAAGCGGTCCATTTTTTTTGCATGGATATATGTTGTTTTTTTATTGTAGGCCTGTAATTTTTAGGAATGACTTGCTGAAATCTGTCCGAACAAGAGTCTAATAAACATCCCGGGTATGATAAAATTTGAAACCCAAAATCATAAATTATAATCTAAATCATAAAAAATAATAAGTTTAATTCAATAATATAATCAAACCAAAACCACTGAAATTTGAAATA